GCTATTCTTACTACTTACCAACAGCAAATGTTCAGTAAATGTTAGCAATTGCCACTAATATGATGACTTCTTAATGGAGTACTGTGTCTAGGCCCTGGGCAAACATTTTACATGACATACATCATTATTTTAATCTTTATAACCCTACAGGAAAGTTAGCATTGTTCCTATTTTACACACAAGGGACTAGCTTTGAGAAGTTAAATAACTTGCCCAAGATCACTGAGATTTGAACGCAGTCCAACCTGACCCCAAAGCCTAGGTTCCTATCCTCTCCGGAGCTTTCCCCAATCTCAGGGCTTCCCTCATGTCTCTGCACTATACAGTCTCTCATTCTCTCACTTAGGGTATCATACACTTGATCATTTCCCAAGTGGTTCAGGAGCCACTTATAGGACACAGATAATGTATCCTCTACATCCCCCACATCCCCGACTCCTAGCAGACACATGGCCCATAGTAGGTGCTCAATAAATCTGTAAACTGGAATTCAGGCAGTTAGTAAATCAAGTGGATTATCTGAATTTTAAAGAGGGAGACTTAATTTCTCTTGAGTTGTAATAATTATTTTACCCAAGCAAATGAACTAACTATAAGTTAGAGAGAGCCCTAAGACTAGAATCTGGAACTAACATGGAAGGCCCAAGAAGGTACCACTGGAGGGAGGAGGCGTAAGTCATTTGCCCTGAGAAAGATAGTTCCTAGGGACTTTCAAAGCCTCTGGAAAGGACAGGTCTTGTCATGCTCTTACACGCAGAGGAATAGGTGATAAGTCCAATGTTACCTTCAAGAGAAGCATTATAAACACTCAAGTTTTCAGATCAAACTGTCCTGGCCCCACCACTTACTTATTATGGAATTTTTGACAGTTATTTAACTCTGAGGCTATTTCCTAAACACCAAAATGCTGATGATAACAGATTCTAACTCATCAGGCATCATGAGAATGACAAAAGCAAAAGCAGGTAAAATGTTAGTACTGAGCCTGGTACCCAGTAAGTATCTAGTGAGAGATGGCTATTCTTATGTGAAATTAGACTGTTACCTGGCTGGTGGAAGGTTAGGAGAACCAGGTTAGGAGGGAGGCTGGGACTTCTAGGGTGGGAGCCAAGGACACTTCGGGAAGGATGAAGGTGATAACCCAGGCTGAGCAAGTCTAGGAGAAAGTCTAGAGTGGGAAAAAGAATGCATTCATTTGTTTCTTAAAGGTTCTGTTTCAAGAACAAGTAAGTCCGTACGCTGTGAGTATTGTCTGAAGAAACCAAGAGACGGGCAACATATGTTTGTCTCTGGCGATGCCATATGTTGCTGTACCTGTAAAGGCAGGAGAATTCAGCCAAGGAGAGATGAGCTCTGCTACTCATGCGGAAACCTTAGTAATAGAGGCATTGAAAGGAAATGAAGCCCTTCCTTCCCTGCTGTGGTGGAGTCCTGCTTGTGTTCGAGGGGCAGGAAGCAACATTTGGAGAGGGGTGCGTCTGCACCAGGGCGGGGTTCACTGGCCGCAGCTCTGCTCCTTTCCGTGGCTTAGCAGCTCTCAGGGAGAGCACCTTTGGTGGACACCAAATCCATGAAAGCACGGTCCAAGGCGGGTCACTGTCGCTGCAGCCTGAGGAGGATGCATGGACCAGAACCACATCCCATCCTGAGGCTAGAACCCCAGGGGAGGTGGGGAAGGGCAGGATAAGGATTGTTCTTGCTAATTCCTTCTGTGATTGCATCTCCCAACAGATAATGTTCTCAGAAATTTGAGGCAAGAGGGCTTATGTCAACCAACACATGTGGTGGGCTGAGGGAGCTTGGTGTAAGCTTTATTCCTTGCTATCATTCTCTAGCTGTTACCAGAAATTTGGCACTTGTCCCTGAGGCCACATCAGAACAAGGACAAGAAGTTTGAAGAGAAAGAAAGGGAAGTTAATTAATTTGCCAGCAAACGAGGAGAATGGCAGACTCTCATCATAAAGTACCGTTGTTCTCCCTATAAGCAGAAATACAGAGCTTTTAAGAGGACGTTTCAGTTTGGGGCAATTGCTGTTTAACTGTAGCTGATGGTCCCGATCAACCCCATCTCCAGTGAAGACAATCTTGTGACCTCTGTTCGGACACTTGCATTGAGCCATCTCCGATGGTACAAAGAACAAAGGATGCCCCCCTGCCCTCTGATTACTGGCCTCAGGCAGGGATGCAGGTTTTAATCCCTAAAAAGAGTGTATGTGGGGGTGGGGGGGTTGAAGAGACAATTGTAAAACATTTTACCCTTGTTCAGGCCCCTTCCTCTGTTACGTAGCTAACTCAGGGGCCATGTGAAAACTCTTTCTTGTTTCTGAAAGGTGAGATGAATGGGGTGGTAGGGACAGGTACAGATTAGAAGTGCTCAGAGTTGGTGCAGAGTGGCTTGAAGAGGAGGAACAGCATTTGGGAAACAGGCGGGGAAATGTTTCACAAGCTCGGAAAAGTCAAAGTGACCAATGTGGTGGGGAGTAGACCTCGGGGAAGAAGAGGCAGGGTGCCCAGAACGAAGGAGTGCTCTGTAGGTTCTAGCAGAGACTGGTGCCAGTGCCAGCCACATCCACGGGAGGCTATGGTGTGACAGCTTTGCTTTTGAGTCAGTCACCTAAAAAGAGCCTCTCGATCCCAATAGGAGAGACCTGCAGGTACCCTCTAACTAAACGACGCTGGAGAGCGAGGGTGGGCCAGAGCAGCAGCTTCTGTGGATTCCTGGGCTCACCTCTCTGATCCCCAAGGTGGTGAGCAAGGAAACTAATTTAAATGACGCCTGTGCTCATTTGGGGGGACAGAAAGAAAGATATGTCCTGAGGAGACCATTGCCATCAATAGCCAGCCTTGGCGGTGACAAAAGCAACTCTAACAAGGCAGATGTACGAATCCCCATGAGAAGCAGGCTGGGGAGCCGAGCGAAGGGAGAATGGGGGAGCCCTGGGCCTGGACCAGCAGAGGATCTGCGTGTGGACCCCTCTGTGGCCACTGAGTGCCCCTGACACGCTACCTATGAAAGATGGTCAGGATGGTTTCATTAATATGGATGCTGGCACTATCACAAAGTAATTAAACGAGGAAGTTAAAACTGCCAAGTACAACTACAGATGAGGAATACAGAGATGCCTGAAGGAGCTCAGGAAATTTCACCCCGAAATATGACTCTTTGGTATAAAGAGTATTTTGAATTAAAAGCCCTTAGAAATCAACAGGACTTGGAAGGGGCTTCCCTCTTTCTTCATAAAAGACTAAACCCATCAAAAAGAACAATTGGCTTCACTTACCTCCTGTTATCTCAATATAGCACAGGAAAGAAAATCAAGAATGCAACCAGACCTGGCCCAAATCATTTTAAATATAATACCTGCCTCTCAGTTTAATTTAATTTCCAAAGAGAATCATTTACAAGTAAATCTGTTTTCCCCCATCCACTCACTTTCTCAAGTATCTATTCATCCTCCCTGGTAACCATTTATTGCCCCTAAACAGAATTACCTATGTTCCTCATCTCTCCCTCCCCTCTAAAACGAGGGTACATAAATTTCTGGATCCCACTGGGATGTTAGGTAATCACTCTGTGATACTCCCCATGTACATGGTAAATAATTCTTTCTCTTTTTAATCTGCCTTATTGTGAGTTGATCTTTCAGCGAACTTTCCACGGTAAAAGGAAAGTTTCCCCCAACCCCACATGCTTCATGAAGATCTGACTTCAATCACACTCAGATACACCAGTTATGATTATAAAAAGCCAAGATGAGTGGCCAAAGAAACATTTGTGTTTCCTTGATAAGATGATGCTACAGGCAAGGTGTATACAAGTCTATTAACATCTATTTTTATCCGTTGGAAGGCCATTCTTGCATCTTAAGAGGACCCTCATTAGACAATGGACCAAGCATGAAGAAAAGACAATGAGCTCAGTTGCAAATACTGCCTCTTAACTGAACAATCAGGCTTTATTCATTTCTTGTTTGGCTCATTATGTTAACCTTTTATTATGCAAAACTGTCAATTCAATTGTGAGATGACAAAAAATAATATTTGGGACAATTCACAAGGGATGTTTATACTATGTCTGCTAAAAGGAAAGAAGCTAACTAGAAAGAATTTGCTGAAGAGGATTCTCATGCTCTTCTCAGATCTTCACTGACAAGCTGGCTTGTCCATCCAGGAGCCTGTAACTACCACTGGAGGGTGCTCTAGAGAACACAGGAGGAGGGAGGGCTCCCCTGCTACATAGGAAGCAAAGCTTTCTTGTAAGTGAACTGGTGCACATGAGAAAGGCCCCCCCCCCCCAGAGCTCTCAGCAGCAGTTCTCCAACTTGTGTGCGTAAGATTCACTCAGGGAGTTTGCCAAACAACGTGCATTCCTGGACCTCACCCCAGAGATTCCAATTTAGTAAGTTTGGTTTGGGTCCAGAGACTCCAAGATCATCCGGGAGGATCCTACCTTGAGAATCCTTGCACTCACCCTAGTTGTGGCTGGTTCACTCTTTGGAAAAGGCACCCCCTCACCCCGCCTTACCTACACTGTCAGAGGGTCATTTGGCCTCCAAAGGGCCAGGAGATGGGGCTTCCTTCTGTGAGCCCTGGCCCTGGGGCTCAGGAAGGGGTCTTCAGTGGTAAACCAGGACCTGGGGTCGGAGTGAACTTGTGGAGCACATGTTAGGGGAGATGTCAGCCTGCCTTGCCTGCCTATTCTGTTAGCCGAATGAACCAGTCTCGGTCCTGGCCCCACACCAGACTCACCTGGGAAGATAAAAAATGCTTGTCCCTGGGCCCTACCCCAGATCCGTCAACTCAGGATCTTGGGGGTAGAGTGAGGGTGCGTCCAGCAATAGTAGATCCCAAAGGTCCCCAGGAGATTGTCATGTGCACCTGTATTGAGAACCACTGGGTAGTCCTGGGACATTCTCTCTTGCCTCCAGGAGGAGGCCGTGCTGGGACCACACCATCTAGCTGCATAGACACCCCAACTTGGCCACCCCATCCATCACTACCTGCTCCCTCCTCTTCTCTCTTCCAGAAAAAACCCTCTTCCCTCAGTGCCGTCAGTGCTAGTGGGGTACACGGACTTGCAGGAGTCCTTGAAGGGTGGTGTGCATTTCCACAGACAAGCTCCATGCGCAGTGTGGAAATGACTAATATGGTCTCAGGTCAGGTCACCTAAGAAGCAAACACAGAGAAGGAGGTTTATGTGCAGAAGGTTCCCCGAGGAGTGCTGCTGGGCTCAGCGCCTAGGAGGGAATGAAGACAGAAGTTCTAGATAGAGGGAGGAACCAGGTAGACCTCACAATAGAGGCTGGTGCAACAAAGGCCTCAGCCAATCCATGGGCAGCTCTAGAGTCTGGCGACCCCTCAATCACCCCACAGTGAGGCACAGGGGTGGGCCTTTTATAGCCCCCCCAGCACAGACTGGTAATTGGATGTGGCTGCTTCTGGGAAGGGGGTGACCTTGGATGATGCTATTCTCTACAATTAAGGGAAATTGAGGGCAATGGCAGGAGGGGCCATCAGTTGTGACATGCGTGCAGGTGGGGAGCAAGTACCCAGTCCTGCATGGGATCCACCCACCATTCCTCATCATCCACAACAGCGAACACACCCTGGGGTCTGTATGTTTCAAGACAGGCTTGCCAATGTGAATGAATATCTAATTAGTTACCTTGGGGAAAGGAGGCTTCTCGGTGACCTTGAGAGGCAACTTGGGTGTGGTATAAAACCTTTTGGATTAGCATTGAAATCCAGGCTTGGCCCAGTATTGAATTTATTACCTTGGGCAAGTCACCTAAAATCCCTAAGCCTCAGGGCCCTTGGGTTGTTTCCACATCCTTGCAACAGTGAATTGTGCTGCCATAAACATTCAAGTGCAGATGTCTTTATTACAGTATGACTTTTGTTCCTTTGGGTAGATGCCTAATAGTGCTATTGCTGGATCAAGTGGTTTTCTATTTTTAACGCTTTGAGGTATCTCCAAATTCTTTTCCACAGGGGTTGCACTAATTGGCAGTCCCACCAGCAGTGTAAGAGTATTCCTCTCTCTCCACATCCTCGCCTGTCAATCCATGAGTGGATTAATAAAATATTATGGTATATGTATACAATGGAATACTACTCAATTATAAAAAACAACGGAGACATAGCACCTCTTATATTTTCCTAGTTAATTCATCTTTAAAATGGGGCCGATGGATTGGTACCTTGCAGCATCGTTGAGGATTAAACGCCATGGTGTGGGCAGTTTCTGGGGTGTTGGAGAGCACATGGACATGGGCTCCCCTGAGCTGGGACTGGCCCGCCTGGGTTCTCGCTCTCATAAGACCCCAAAGGACCCTTAGGACAGGACTGAGCCCCTCCTCTCCAATTCACACTACTTGTCCTGGTGGCCAAGATGCAGAGAGAAGGTTGGTAATGTCCTTGGTGGGATGTTTGGTGCTGGGCTGGATTCTCAGATTTCTACTTCTCCCACTGCAGTACCAAGAAGCTTTGGCCAATTTCCCTTTAAGTGGTGGCCAGCCAGAAGGTCTTACAACTGAGGGAAGCATTGTAATGGCAAACAAGACCCCTCAGAAGAAATCCCCAAATCAAAGGATAGCCGCAAGGGGGTTTCTGCTTCACCAATAGGGCTGCCAGTCTCCCAGATAATATTCATGAGGAGGCTGATTCATGACCAGCCCTTGCAAAATGCTGTGGAAATATCAAATATCAAATGCAAAAAGTGGGACTCAAAATAATATATTCAGTGTGATTTTGACTATGTTATACAATGGTTTAGAAAAATTCTGGAGCAAAGCTGCCAAGATGTCACAATAATTGCCTCTGTATAGTAAGATTGTGGCTGATATTTTTTCTCATGCCTTCTTTACACGTTGTTTTTATAGTATTATTTCTACAATGAGTGGGGGTGGGGTAAGAAAAAGGAAAAGAGAACAGAAAATGCTCTCCCCACAGGGGGAAGGGGCACACATGCCAGCGCCCCCCACTGGTCTCCCCCAGGTGGTGAGGGCTGCAGGGGGTCGTGGTGGCACGGGGTGTCCACCTGACTCGCCCCTCCTGGAAACGTCTGTGTTAGGAGATGTGAGCACCACAGGCACTCGCGCTAATCACTGCTTGGAGTTGGGCTGCTGAATGTTTTCTGGGAGGCGCGTTGTCAGCCGAAGGCTGCCCGCCGCGTGGGGCGGATTTCCCAGCCCTCGCAGGATAATTTTATCAGGAAGGACAACATTTGTAGTTCTGCATGAGCAGCTCCCGGGCGAGATAGAGAGGAGCACCGTGAGCTGAGGCTGAGGAGCCTGCCTGTGTGGTGTCTGCAGGGACAGGGACGGGGAGTGTAAACAGCACAGGGGCACAGAGAGCCCGGGGTGGCAGAAAGAGGGGCTTGTAAGGTCCTTGCCCCCCCCTGGTGATCTCCCGTCCCCTCAGTTCCTGTGAGCCTCACCTGGGGACCTTCAGGGGCACAGGCCATGCCACCGGCCTCAAGGGCTTTTCAAATGTTACTGAGAGACCCCTCAGTAGAGAGCCCGGCCCCCAGGGAATGGACCTAAGACGGGCAGGTCGTCACGAAGGGGAGGAGACACTCGCTCTCCAACACCCCAGAAACTGCCCACACCGTGGCGTTTAATCCTCAGCAATGCTGCAAGGTACCAATTCATCAGCCCCATTTTAAAGATGAATTAACTAGGAAAATATAAGAGGTGCTAGGTCTCCGTTGTTTTTTATAATTGAGTAGTATTCCATTGTATACATATACCATATTTTATGATATGTGTATCATAAGCCTCAGATCAGGAGGTTTGAGAGTCAAAACACAGTCTTAAGATCACCTTGCCATACCCCCCCCCCAGTTTTCCAGAGGAGGAGTTGGGCTCTAGAGAGGTTCCCAGTGAGCCCGGATTGGGCCTGTCTGAATCCGGATGCAGATTCTGCAACTACACACTGCTTCCGTGTGCATGGGCTGAATTGCATTCCCCTCTCACTGCCCCCCAAGAAAAGATATGTGGGAGTCCTAACTCCCAGTACCCCAGAACATGGCCTGATTTGGAGAGAGGGTGAGGTCATCAGGATAGGCCACAAACCAACCCGACTGGTGTCTTAGGGGACTTTCCACTTAGAGAAAGGCGCGCACAGGGAGCATGCCAGGTGAAGACTGAGGTCAGTGCTGCCGCGAGCTTCCTGCTAGACGTGCGGAGAAAGGGCCTGAACACGTCCTTCCCGGGCGCCGTCTGAGGGGGCACGGCCCTGCCGCTGCCGCCCTGGCCTCATCTACTGGCCTCCAGGATGGGCAGACAATAAACTTCGCTGTTTACGCCACTCGGTTTGTGGTACTTTGCTATGACAGCCCTGTGAGGTTAACACAGAGGGCTTTCCTGTCCGAGGAAGGATTTACAATGCTGGCCCCGTCGGGGGAGGCGAATCTCTGAATTCGAATAATCTATGCCGGCCCTGCACCTTGCGATCGTTAATAACTGAGACTGGAAAACTCTAGACAAACTAGACCCTCTGAAGCACATCTGGAAACTCAGCTGATACCCAAGCACCTAGAAGCCAAACACTGCGATTCAGTACAACCTGGGCAGAACAGCTCCCTGCAAAGTGGCTTTCTCTGGAACTCAGGCCAAAGTAGAGACATAAAAGCAAGATGGTACCTTTTTTCTGTCCCTTCTTATGTTTCAGAGACAGGTGTCATTCAGAGACCTGATAAGCTCACAAGTGCCATTAACTAAGGAATCAGGCTGGACTGGCTTGATTCAGTGACCGCATATGTTAGCACAAGACATAGGAGAGGAGTTAAGGAAGGCAGATGATGGATTGAATGAAAGAAACATAGCTCCTTTCCCTTTTTACATCAGAATTTTTCTTAAATCCCTTCAGTTCAGCACTTGAATTCTTTTTTATTAGTACGAAGTTGGCTGGAGGGACGCCTTGCTGTCAGAGATGCTGTGTGGCCAGGAACAATCTTGGTGACAAGGGGCTCAGGCCACGTGTGGGGTTTCTCTCCTTTCCTCCCTTAGCTTGCACATTGCATCTGTAGTCCAGAAAGTAGTGAGGGGCCCATGGGTTAGAACTGCCTTTGTCCCACCTACCTTTGACTCCAGGAAAGGGGTCTGAAATTCTAATCTGTTGACACATCACCAAGCACAATAATTTAGCTGGCGAAATGCCGTATCACAGCTGTGGGAAATGATTGAAAAGCAGCGTGGAACTTGAGGGTTTGTCTCCGTGAAGAGGTGCGCGTGGATGAGCCAGTGCAAGCTCTCGGCAGTGACCGCTGTGCCCAGCTGAAGGGCCCCGGCACGTAAAACGGGAGATGGAAGAGATCAATCATTTTTAAATTTTTTCCTTCCTTTTTAAATCAATGGAACTGTTTCTTCAAATCTTAGTTAAAATCCCAAACAAAAAAATAATAATTTTTTAAAATGAGTTGCCCTATTTAAAAAATGGGCAAAGGACTTGAATAGACGTTTCTCCAAAAAAGGTATACAAATGGCCTATAAGCACAAAAAGATGTTCAACATCACAAGTCATTAGAGAAATGCAGACGGAAACAACTAGACCCTACTTCACACTCATTAGTATGACTGTTCCCCAAAACAAAATAAAACAAAACAAAGAACAAAAAGTAAAAATAGAAAATCACAAGTGTTAGTGAGAATTTGGAGAAATTGAAATATTTGTGTCCTGCTGGTGGGGGTGTGAGATGTGAGGACACTGTGGAACGCACTGTGGTAGCTCCTAAATAATTAGAAATAGAAATACCATGTGATCTAGGAATTCCAATTCTGGGCACACACCCAAAAGAACTGAAAGCAGAGACTCAAATATTTTGTACAATTCATATTCATAGCAGTAGTATTCACAAGGCCCAAAATATGAAAGCAATTCTAGTATCCATTGATGGATAAATGGATAAACAAAATGTGGTATATTCAGACAGTGAAATATTATGCAGCCTTAAAAAGGAAGGAAATTTTGAATGTGCTACAACATGGATGAATCTTAAAGATATAATGCTAAGTGAAACAAGCCAGTCACAAGTGGGTAAATACTGTATGATTCCATTTATATGAGGTACTTAAAGTAGTCGATTTTATGTTATATGTATGTTACCACAATTTTTTTAAAAAGAGGTGCTTTAAAGGGGAGGGGCAAGATGATGGACTAGGAGCAGCTGGTGTGAGCTGTTCTCAAGGAGAGGATGGGAAGCTGCAGGGGATGCCCACCTA